ACTTGTTTGATCATTGGGTTGGGGTTGGTCCTATGATGAGTGGTTGAATAAACTGGGTCGTATTCTCAGGAGTTTAGAAAAATGAGAGATGCTAGTTCATCATGCAAACCAGCCTTCCTTCCAGTGATTCCATCTATACTATCTGCTGCCTCGGGAAAGCAACCAACATAATCAAAGACCCCTCTCACCCCGGTTATACACTCTTCCACCTTCTTTCATTGGGCATAAGATATGAAAGTCTGAGTACATGTATGAACAGATTCAAGAACAGCTTCCTCCCTGCTGCTATCAGATTTTTGAACGGACCTTTCAAATGTCAATGTTGATCTCTCTCTGCACCTTCTCTGTGGCTGTAACGCTGTATTCTGCACTCTGTTCTGCTTCCCTGATGCACCTTGTATAGCACACAAAACAACACCTTTCACATCAGGGAGGCAATGGCCTAGTGGTATTATTGCCAGACTATTAATCCAGAGACCCAGGTAATGTTTTGGGACCCAGGTTTGAATCCTGCCATGGCAGATGGTAGAATTTAAATTCAATAAAATATCTGGAATGAAGTGTCTAATGATTACCATGAAACCATTGCTGATTGTCAAGAAAATCTCATCTGGTTCACTAATATCATTTAAGGAAGGAAACTGCCATCCTTACCTCATCTGGACTACATGCGACTCCAGACCCACAGCAATGTGGTTGACTGTTAGCTGCCCCTCTGGGTAATTAGAGATGGGCAATAAATGCTAGTCCAGCCAGCAATGCCCTCATCCCACAAATGAATAAAAAAAACAAAAAGCCAATCAAGATGATCTCATTGAAACATAGTTGATCGAGAAGGAGTTTGATAGGGTAGATGTGGAGAGATCATGTCTGCTGGTCAGGAATCTAAAACACAGGGACACAGACACAGGAGAGGGGACTGATCATTAATTACTGAGATGAGGCAATATTTCTTTACTTACAAGGTTGCATGTCAGTGGAATTTCTCACCTCAGAGGACTGTAGATATTCATCACTAAATATACTTGAAGCACCATAGTTACATTCTTGGTGTTTCAGGGATTTGAGGGACAGCTGGAGGAAGTGCAAAGGAGGCTTACCAGACTGAATCCTGGGATGGCAGTACTGACATATGAAGAGAGACTAGATTGGTTAGAACTATATTGCAGGATTTCACAGAAACCTATAAAATTCTAAAAAGCAGACATGGCAAACACAGGAAGGGTGTTCTCAATAACTGGTGAGTGCAGAATTAGTGAACACAGTCTTAAGGAAACAGCTCAAGCCGTTTAGGACTGAGAGGAGGAGAATTATGTTCACCCAGAGAGTAGTGAGCTGTGCTCAGTGGTTAGCAATGCTGCCTCACAGCGCCAGGGACCCAGGTTCGATTCCAACCCGGGCGACTATCTGTGTGGAGTTTGCACATTCTCCCCGTGTCTGCGTGGGTTTCCTCTGGGTGCTCCGGTTTCCTCCCACAGTCCAAAGCGTGCAGGGTAGGTGGATTGGCCATGTTAAATTGCCCATAGTGCCCAGAGATGTGTAGGTTAGGTGGATTAGACATTTGCAATACAGGGGTAGGGGAATAGGTCTGGGTGGGATGCTCTTCAGAGGGGCGGTGTGGACTTGTTGAGCCGAATGGCTTGTTTCCATACTGTAGAGATTCTATGATTCCATGAGTAGAAAGATGGCTGTGATTATTGGAGGTCAGTCATCTCAGATTGAGGATGTGACAGCAAGGGTTCCTCAGACTAGTGTCCTAGGCCTAACCACCTTCAACTGCTTTATCACTGACCTTCGCTCCATCCTAAGGTCTGAGGTTGGATGTTTGCTGATGATTGCACAATGTTGAGAACCACTCGCAACTCCTCAGACACTGAAGCAGCCTGTGTCCAAATGCAGCAAGACTTGAATAATATCCAGGATTGAGCTGACAAGTGGCAAGTAACATTCACCCCACACAAACTCCAGGCAATGCAGATCTTCAATAAGAGACAATCTAACCACTGCCCCCTGATATTCAATGGTGTTAGCATCACTGACCCCCCCACTATCAATATTCAAGGAGTTAACATTGACCAGAAACTCAACTGACTCACCACATAAACACAGTGGCTACAAGAACAGGCCAGATACTAGGAACACTGCGACGACTAACTCACCTCCTGACTCCCCAAAGCCTGTCCACCATCTACAAGGTACAAGTCAGGAGTGTGATGGAATACTCCCCACTTGCCTGGATGGTGCAGCCCCAACAACACTCAAGAAGCTCGACACCATCCAGGACAAAGCAGCCGCTTGATTGGCACCACATCCACAAGCATCCACTCCCCCCACCACCGGAGCTCAGTAGCAGCAGTGTGTACTATCTACAAGATGCACTGCAGAAATTCACCAAAGACCCTCAGACAGCACCTTCCAAACCCACGACCACTTCCATCTAGAAGGACAAGGGCAGCAGACATATGGGAACATCACCACCTTCAAGTTCCCCTCCAAGCCATTCACCGTCCCAACTTGGAAATATATCACCGTTCCTTCTGGGTTGAAGTCCTGAAACTCCTTCCATAATGACATTGTGGGTCAACCAACAGCAGATAAACTGCAGCGGGTCAAGAAGGTAGGGGAGGGTCACCGGACCTGAAACGTTAACTTTGATTTTTCTTCACAGATGCTGCCAGGCCTTCCAGCAACTTCTGTTTTTGTTCCTGATTTACAGAATCTGCAGTTCTTTCAGTTTTTCCTCTCAGGAAGGAAGTGCTGTCCATACCTGGTCTGGCCTACACGTACCTCCCGACCTTCAGCTACCGCCTCCCAGCAATTAGGGATTGTCAATAAATACTGGTCTCGCCAATGACACCCACATCCCATGAATGAGTATAAAAAAGTCCAATTCCTCTCCTTTTCTACCTTAGCACTGTACTTTCTCAGTCCATAGAGTAATTAAAGCCCCTACTGTTATTGCGCTACTTTCGTTAGAGACCTTTGAAGTGGACCAACAAATTGTGCTCATCTCCATCTCACTTCTGAGAACTCAGTAACAATTCCCAGTAATGTAACACCTCCCCCTTGATTCCTCAACTCAAGTCAATTCAGACCTAGAATCATTGAAACTGGACCATGTCTAACGTTTGCAAAATTACATAAACTAACTTTCATAGGTTTCTTCCTGGTGCTCCGGTTTCCTCCCACAGTCCAAAGATGCGCAGGTTAGGTGGGTTGGCCATAGGAGACACAGGGTTTTAGGGACAGAATGGGAGGGTGGGTGTGGATGGGATGTTTTCCAGAGGGTCGGTGTGGACTTGATGGGCCGAATGGCCTTTAACTGAACTGTGAGGATTCAATGATTCTGTGAGTACAAGATGAAAAGCTTTAATATCTTGTCTTCTTTACTAATATTTAATGTCTGTATTACCAAGCAACTACTTTACTTGGTTTTCATTCGTTTCTCTATGTTAGCATACATTGTCCTTATATTCTCTATATATATTTTCAATATATCATTGAAGCTCAGGAACATACTCAAAGTGGATCAGAGATGTGCCACCACACTGGCATGTCAGGTACTGAAGTCCATGGATGTGGGGACAGTGGCCATGCACCCACCCTCCCATTCTATCCCTGTGTGGCCACTTTCCATGGAGTGTACCCTGAGACGTCACTGTCCAGTGTCCAACATGGAAGTCCTTTGGAGCAAGCAGTGAACTGAAATTACCAGGCACCCAATCTGACATCCACATCGAGAATTCTTGGTATGATGTCTTTAAAAAGCAAAGTTTTCTCGAAAACAAAAAGCCAAACACTGTGGATGCTGGAAATCTGCAATGAAAACAAAGTGCTGGAGAAACTCAGCAGGTGTGGCAACGTCTGTGGAGAGCAAAAATATTTGAGTCTGTTCCTCCACAGACTCTGACAGATCTGATGTTTCTCCAGCACTTTCTCAGCACTGTACTGGAGTGGTAGCCAGGATTTAGTGCTCAAGCCTATAGAGTGGGACTCAAATCCACAAAATTCTGACTCAGGTGTAAGAGACCTCCCCACTGAGCCACTCAGAAATAGAAATAGGTTTCAGAGCTAAATATTTTGTTGAGATGAAGTATCCGCTCAAGACTAATCAATGACAACGAGCACACTGGAATTAACAGGCTCAAATCTGCATGCAACACTTTGTCAGAACTATTGTTACCAAGATATATTCTTCAGCAGTTCCTGTTAAAAGACAAAAACTAGGAGAAGGCAATTTGGTGCATCAGGTCTACGCCACCGATCAGTAAGATCATGGATGATTGGATTGTGGCCTTGACTCCCAATTTCCTGCCTGATCTCCATAATCCTTAACTCATTGTTAACCTTTTAAACACAGCCTCAAGTATATTCAGCTTATACTGCTCTCTGGTGAAGAGAATCCCAAACACTCGGAAAACATATTCTTCCTCATCTTAGTGTTAAATGGGTGACAATTTATTTTGAAACCATGACCCCGAGTCCTAGGTTTCCTCACAAGGTGAGACATCCTCAACCCTGTTGAGCCCCCTCAGATTCTTGTACGTTTATGAAGACCACTCCTCATCCTTCTAAAATCCAACAAATATAGCCTCAAGCTGCTCAAGATTTCGCCACAGGGAAACACCTTTATCCCCAGAATCAGCTGAGTGAACCTTCTCTGAACTGCTTCCAATGCAGCGTATCCCTCCTGACGAGGAGACCAAAACTGACAGCAAACATTAGCTTTTGTTCTTTGTTTTAAAGGAAAGGATCACAAAAGTGTAGGCTGGAATGAAAGAGATGACACTGAGCATAAGGTGCAGATAAGTCCCAAGGGCAATTTTAATTATAGAAGATTGATGAATATTGGAAACTGATTGAAAGTCCCGTGATGTAGATGGCTTCCTCAGTCTGAATAGAGTGAAGATCAACCTCACACTACTGGATAGCCATTTATGAGCTATCTAAAGTACCTCTTACCCTGCCCATTTATCCAGAATTTTAATAAGCTCACTGACCTTGGTTTGTGATTCGCATCCTTCACGAACCAGCCACTGCTTTTACTCTTTTCAGCCAAAGAGCTGCATTTCCTCACTGGCGACGGAGTCCGGGATCTTTTGCTTTCGGAATCTTTGCTCTCATTCCCGAAGGGGAAAATGCTGGCCTTCTTAGTCTCATCTGTGATGTTCCTTGCGGGCTCGACGGTGGAGATAATGGGAGCAGCAGCATGCATGGGCTTGGGACTGCGTGCGCTCCTGACTTCCATGTTCTTCTGAGTATCTCCAGCTAGGACTGGGTCACCCTCCTCATCAGCCACTCTGATGACTGGAGGGATCAGCTTGGTCTCCACCTTTGCTGGGCTGCTGGACGTGCCCTCAGGCTCATTCAGGGAAGTCGGCCAAGGAGATGGCTCTCTCTTGCTTTCAATGTCCTGGGAGGAACGGGAGAGGGACATCAATTCTGGGGATAAACCAGAGGGTGATTTGGAGGTAGACTCCTCATTGTAGACGTGGCTCCCATTGATGCAGAGTGATGACCTGGACAATGGGCTTGTCTTTGGTGCGAGGCCTTTGATGTGGGGTGCGTTGACTTGGCCAACCTCGTCACTAAGCGCTCGCTTGTGCGTCATTTTCTTAGGTAAGGACAGATTGTCATCTACTGACCAAGAAAGAGAAACAGAAATGCAACAACTCAGTTTGTGTTCAGACAGTAATCCGCGAGCTCGTGTTTTATTTCAGGCAGGCAAAACACACTGAATCTCACCACAGACCCCAACACTACCAACTACACTGCACTCCCCTCAACTATTTAACTCTCTCCCCTCCTTCACCCAAAGGCACCGACCTAATAAACTGCCCTGGCAGCAAGAGCTCTGGCGTTCCATGGCTTCCTTTCCAAGGTTTCAGCTGACGTGAGAATGAGGGGAGATCTAACTGAGATATACAAGATGCAAAAGGGGACTGACAACATAGACTCAGAGAGGTTTTCTCTTCAGGGCAATCTAGAACAAGAGGTCACAGTTTTAGGCTAATGGGGAGGGCAGATTTGAAACTGAAATTATGAGGAACTACTTCTCTCAAAGGTTGTAGAATCTTTGGAATTCACTACCCCACAGTGCAGTGGATGTCAGGACGAAAGGTAACGTTACCATAGTTTTACCAGAGCAAAGTGCTGCCCACTCATGAGAGACAGAGACAGATGACTGGTGGGGGTTTAATCTGAGGTCACCATGCCTCAGGCTCGTTGTTATGTCAGCAAAGCACAGAATGCACGAATAAGCAATGATAGCAAAAGCTAGAATGTTACCTGGACTGCAAGGTTTGAGTTATAAGGAGAGGCTGGATAGGCTGGGACTTTTTAACTTGGAGCATATGAGACCGGGAGGGTGGGGGGTGGGGGTTGGTTTGTTACCTTATAGAGTACTATAAAATCATGAGCAGCATAGATAAGGTAGATAGCCGACAGAATTTCCCCACAATAGGGGAGTCTATAACCAGACGGCATATGTTTAAGGTGACAGGGGAGAGATACTAAAGGGTCCGGGGGGCAATTTTTTCATACAGAGGATGGCGAGTGTCTGGAACAGGCTGCCAAAAGTTGTAGTGAAAGCGAGTATGATTTTGTCATTTAAGAAACATTTGGACGTACATGGATGCGATGGGTATGGAGGGATAGGGACCAAATACAGGCAAATAGGACTAGTTTAATTGTGAAAACCAGGCAGCATGGACAAGCTGGGCTGAAGGGCCTGTTTACAAGCTGTAGATCTCTATGACTCTATGACTCAGGCTAGAGCAGTGGATTGGAGCAGCGTCCCCAAGCACCTATCACTTTGAACCTAACCACTTTCCATTCTCCGTTCCAGGAACTATTGTGGAGAGTGGGAAGAGCTTGTATCACTGTAGCACCTTTCACAACCTCATTTTATTCCAAAGTGCTTTACAGCAAATTAAGGACTTTTGCAGTGTAGTCACTGTTGTAATGCAAGAAACACAGCAGTTAACCGTGCACAGCAAGATCCCACACAATAATAGCGATTAAATCATCTACTTGTCAGGATACTAGGCATAATTCCTCAGCACTTCAACTTGCTGCTTTTCTTCCCCCACTGTGCTGCAATTATTTTTCACATCCAGTATTTATCCAGCTCTCTTATTGAAAGCTCCTGTTGAATGTGCTTCTACTATTCTACAAATGGAGCGTGATGCTTATCCCATGAACTTTCTGGCAGGTGTTGCTTGGCAGCAAGAGGTCTGGTGTGCCATGTTTCTCGTAAACCAACACAAGACAGTTATCAGACCCCAGCTAGTACAACGTGTACAGTTATAGGCCCCTTATCTCAGGAAAGGTATACTGGCATTGGAAGCACTAGGCTGGAAGCAGGAATGGAGGAACTATCTTATGATGAGAGGTTGAGTAGGTAGGACTGTACTCACTGCAATATAGAAGGAGGAAATGTGACCTGACTGAAACATAAGAGATTCTTAGGGGACTTCACAAAGTAGATACGGAAAGGTTGTTCCCCCTTGTGGGCGAGTTTAGGACTAGAGGGCATCATCTCAGAACACATTAAGTCAGAGATGAGGAGGAATTTCTTCTCTTAGAGGGGAGTCAATCTGTGGAATTCTTTACCACACAGGGCCATCGAGGCTGGGTCATTCAGTATATTCAAGGCTGAAAGACACAGATTTTTAATAAGTAAGGGGAATCAAGGATTACAGGAAAATGCAGGACAGTGGAGCCAAGGATCATCAGACCAATCATGTGGAGAAGAACTGATGAGCTGAACGGCCTCTTTCTGCTCCAATGTCTTCACACCCGACAAGAGAAGAGGGGGTGGTGACACGATAGGGGTCAGTGAAAGAGTTGATGGGGTAGACGTAGAGTAGCAGTTCAGACAAGTGTTGAGCTGAATCATATGGGTGAATTCAGGTGGACAAGGAATAGAAGACTATCATTAGCGGGTAGGATAATAAGTCGGACAGGAAGCTTGAATGGAGCTTTACTCTGTATCTAACCCCGTGTCCCTGTGCTGGGAGTGTTTGATGGGGACAGTGTAGAGGGAGTTTTACTCTGTATCTAACCCTGTGCTGTCCCTGTCCTTGACTGTGTTTGATGGCGACAGTGTAGAGGAAGCTTTACTCTGTATCTAACCCTGTCCTGTCCCTGTCCTAGGAGTGTTTGATGGGGACAGTACGTAGGGAGATTTACTCTGCATCTAACTCCATGCTGTACCTGTTCTGAGGTTGTTTGATGGGGACAATGTTAACAGAGCTTTAATTTCAGTTTCAAAGGGGGACATTTACTTTCCATTAAAACAGTAGAGGGAGATTTACTCTGTACCTAACCCTGTGCTGTCCCTGTCCTGCAAGTGTTTTTTGGGGACAGTATAGAGGAAGCTTTACTCTGTATCTAACCCTGGGCAGAAACTGTACTGGAAGGGTTTGATCGGGTAAGCGTTGAGTTAGCTTCACTTTCAGTTTAAAGAATAGATGGAACTTCACTGTATCTGGCCTCATGCTGTTCCTGTCCAGGGAGTGTTTGGTGGGGATGTGTTGAGGTAGCTTTACTTTCTGTTTGAAAGAGTAGAGGAAGCTTTACTCTGTGTCGTACCCTGTGCTGTACCTCCTGGGGAAGTGTTATTCACTGACATCATTATATCTATTGGAAAGAGATTGGTATGCCAGTTCTAAAAAAGCCTCACTGTGATCAAGAGAAAAGTTCAGTGGAAGAGAGGTTCCTTACTTGTTTCATTACGCAGAGGATGGAACCCAGATGGAGCTTCAGTGGATTGAGGGGACATTACTGCCACAGCCCCACTACCGCTGCTGACACTTTCCAGGGACTTCACACTTTGCTGGGAGCAGAGCGAGCTGTTGGACTTGGTCAGCGATGACCTATGCAGTTTGGGCTTTGAGAAGAAACCTTTCTTGGGTCTTTTCTGCGGCGTCTCTTTCTCATTGAACTCCTCGTCGCTGATGATCTGCCCCACGCTGCTCGGCACAATGGCAGATGAAGACTCGGCCATCAGAGGGTTATCATGCTTCTTCTTGCCTTTCACCCTGTCCTTCAGTTTCCCCAGAGCCGAGCGGGGCTTTTCCTTGGAGGACAGGTCAAACATGCTGGCAGTCATGTTGTTGCGCACAAACTGTACGATCACCTGAATCTCTCCTCGCTCCTTCTCCTTCTGCCCAGGTTTTGAAGACAGCTTGTACCACCTGAGCAGGAAGAAAACGAGGCAATGTTCAGGGCATGAAGAAGGGTCTCGACCCGAAACGTCAGCCTTCCTGCTCCTCTGATGCTGCTTGGCCTGCTGTGTTCATTCAGCTCTACACCTTGTTATCTCAATGTTCAGGGCAAACAAGAACAACGATACCAGCAAACAGGCAGGTGGGGCACACAGTGGCATTTACTCCCCACCTACTTGATCTTGCCTGGTGTCAGCTATGACCTAATATTAACCAAAAGAACTGCAGATGCCGTAAATCAGAAATAAAAACAGAAGTTGCTGGAAAAGCTCAGCGGGTCTGGCAGCATCTGTGGTGAGAAATTAAAGTCAACGTTTCAGGTCATCTCTCACCAGGTTTTTTTCTCCCTCTCCAGGAACTCGAGCAAACTCTCTAGTCTGACTCTCGCAGTGAATTGCAAAGAGAGGGCAGCACTGTTGGAAGCACCGTATTTCAGATAGGAGCTGCAGAGTGATGATGTCATCAGACTAGTAATCCTGAACCCCTGGCTAATGTTCAGGGTACATGGGTTCAAATCCCACCATAATAGATTGTGAAATCTGAATTCAATTAAAATTAAAAACTCACCTAACAATGACCACAACGATGTCATAAAAACTCATCTGGTTCACTAATGCCCTTCAGTTAGTCTATAATCTTTACTTAGAGATAGTAAGAACTGCGGATGCTGGAGTCAGAGATAACACAGTGTGGAGCTGGAGGAACACAGCAGGCCAGGCAGCATCAGAGCAGGAAAGTTGACGTTTCGGAAGAAGGGTCCCGACCCGAAATGTCAACTTTCCTGCTCCTCTGACGCTGCCTGACCTGCTGTGTTCCTCCAGCTCCACACTGTGTTGTCTATATCTTTACTTGGTCTAGCTTACATGCGACTCCAGATCTACAGCAATGTGGTTGATGCTAAAGTACCTCTGAAATGGCCGAGCAACCAAGTTATTTCAAAGTGATTAAGGATGGATAATAAATGCTGACCTCACCAGCAGGGTGCCATGAGTGAATTTTGTTTTCTTTTGGGTGGACGAGAAAAAAAGCCAGATGCCGTGATTTGAAGGCTAGCAGAGAATTTCTCCCAATCAACATGTATACTCTCACTATCATATTGCAGTTTCTGGGACCTTATACTATTCAAACTGACTGTTGTTACATTTCCAACATAAAAGTATCTACTCAATCATTGTCAATTAAGTGTACTTTGAGTGTTTCAGATTGTCGCGAAGTATAAAAGGCGACTTACAAATGCAAGTTTCGAGTTCTTTCACTTCACTGTTTCAACGGCATCAGTTACACCCAAGTCTCCACAAACAACCCTCTCAGTTCTGGTATCAAAATGTTGTGGGTGAAGGTAAGAAAGGAGGCGAAACCAAACGGGTTTGCGAAGTAGACTGCAGAAGGAATGTTTGCTATCAAGTACTTACCTCGCTTCTGTTCAATTAATAACCTGACCTTGGAGCACACTGGTAATCAAACTACATTCAAAAGGCAGCAGTAAGACTGGTCTGAAAGTTGCAAGTATAAATTGACTTAGAAGTGTAATATACAACCCTTTATTTTTTAAATTCTTGTATGGGATGTGGACATTGCTGAAATGGCCAGCATTTGTTGCCTTTCTGTCATTGCCCTTGAGGACTAGGCTACTTCAGAAGGTGTTTAAGGCTCAGCAACATGGTTCTGGAGTCATATGTAGACCTGACCATGTAAGGACAGCAGATTTCCTTCTCTAACGGCCATCAGCATCTGAGTCAAAACTCAATCCTATGCCTGAATTATCATCTCCCAGTGGAGGAGATGGATAGAAGACAGAGAGTCGGCTTTTTTCTGGAAGGCAAGAAGTAATAAGTGGGGTGCCACAAGGTTTGGCCCTTGGACCCCAGCTATTTACAATCTACATTAACAACTTGCATACAGGGACAGAAGGCTCTACAGCCAGATTTGCAGACGACACAAAAATAGGTAGGACAGTAAATTGCAATGACAAAATAAGAACCTTACAAATGGATATGGATAGGTTAGGAGAGTGGGCCAAAATGGAGTTTGACATGGATAAGTGCGAGGTCATACATTTTGGTCAGAAAAATGGGATGGCGGCCTACTATCTAAATGGGGACTGACTTCGGGCTGCTCCAGTGCAGAGGGATCTGGGTGTCCTCGCTCATGAGTCACAGAAAACTAGCACGCAGGTACAGCAGATAATACAGAAAGCAGATGGAATGTTGGCTTTTATAGCTACAGGAATAGAATATAAAGATAAGGAAGCATTTTTGCAACTATACAAGGCATTAGTGAGACTGCACCTGGAGTATTGCGCACAATTTTGGTCCCCATTTGAGGACAGATGTAGTGGCATCAGAGGCAGTACACAAGAGGTTCACTAGATTGATCCCAGAGATGAGGGGTTTGTGGTATGAAGAGACATTGAACAGTTTAGGCCTATACTCTCTGGAATTTAGAAGAATGAGGGGAGATCAAATTGAGATGATCTCAAATCAAGATGATAAAAGGTTTGGATAAAATCGATACAGAGCAGATGCTTCTTTTGGTGGGGCATTCTAGGGCGAGGCGTCATAGTCTTAGGATAAGGGGTAGCAAATTTAAAACAGAGTTGAGGAGAAACTACTTCTCCCAAAGGGTTCTGAATGTGTGGAATTCGCTACCCCAAAGTGTGGTGGATGCTGGGTTAGTGAGTAAATTTAAAGAGGAGTTACCCACTCATCTCCATCCACATGGATAAAGAGAACCACCAATTTGATTGGGACAACAAGATCCTGGGACAGGCAAAGCAGAGACAAGCACAGGAATTCCTAGAAGCCTGGTACTCCACTAAGAAAGCCGTCAACAAACACATAGAACTAGATCCCTTGTACACTCCATTGCGAAGGAAAACCAGAAGTGAGGTAATCCAGCCCAACAGACACGAGAGTTCAAATACCAGGTGGGAAAACACAACAGCACTTCATCGGAGGCCGCGCTGAGGATGTTACCCAGCAGGGTAATGAAACGTCTGCAGAACAACGAACCAGCTCGGCGAGACAACCAACCACAACATAAAATTACAATTCCTTTTACACATAATTTGTGTGTTTTGCTATGAGTTTCAGAAAATCAAAAGCATCTCCTCGGAAAGTTCATAACCACTAGCAAAATCCTGCTGAGGAGTTGGAAACATTCTGAAAAATGTGTTGACACCTTCAAACATCACTGTTAGATCTTGTGAGGTATTGTAGATGTGTCTTAATCATAGAGTCTCCCTGCAAAGATAAATTAACTATTACATTAACCATCATTGTGCCAGTGGTGTTTACTATTACATTTCTCTCTCCATTGGAGGAAATGCCATAATGCATTACAAAATGTACAGCATGTCTCAGTCATATTTTGTACTGTGATTTACACTGACTTACAACAGTAGCAATTAAATAAAATTTTGAAAACTGAAAAAAAAAAACTCTGCACCTGCTTCTCCCTCTTGATTGACAGGTTCTCTGCTTTGCAACAGAAACAGGATATCATTCTGCTCTGGCACTTTTGGGCAATGTAGTTGCAAGTTTTTTTATTAAGACAGCTTCAATCATTATAAACATTTGGGTGGCTTTCAACAACTTATCATTGTATTAGGTCAGCGGGTGGTGTATTGATTCAAAAACAATTGGAGCTTTTAAGAGGCCATAATAAAAGAAAATGCATTTAATGCCAGGAACATAGGAACAGGAGTAAGTCATTCAGCTTCGCAAACCTTCGGCACCATTCTCCTCGCACCAATGTGAATAACCTCAGCTTTTCCACATTATACTCCATCAACCACTTTAGTCTGTCTAAATCCCCTTGCAACTTTGTTGAATCCATCTCACAATTTATGCTTCTACCAAATTTTGTGCCCTCTACAAATTTTTGGAAATTATACAAATGGCACTCAAATCCAAATCAACCAGCTGGGGCCCAAACACAGATTCCAGTGGTAACCCACTCGTCATATTTTTGCCGAACTGAGAATGCCCCATTCATTCCTACTCTCTTTCTGCTTGTTAACCAATCCTCAATCCATGTGATTATGATACCCTTAATCCCAGGTGCTTTAATTCTATTTATGAACATTCTGTGTGGGAATTAATCAAAAGCCTTGTGAAAATCTAAAATGTACCCCATCTGACTTGATTCCCCCAGACCAATTCTGCTGGGAACATCCTGTTAAAAACTTGTATCAAGTTTGTCAGATGATTTCCATTTCATTAATCCACATTGATTGTCCAGAGAATTATTTTCTAAACATCCAGTAATCACATCACTTATGACAGATTTAATAGACATAATAAATTATAACAGGTTTGTAGTTTCCTGCCTTTTGTCTCCCTCTTTACTTTCTTAAACTGTGGTGTGACATTGTAACCTTTCAAGCTACAGGCATTGTTCAGAATAAATTGAATTTTGAAAGATTTTTTTTCTATATTCAATTATACAGGGAGTATACTGGGTGAGTGGCTCTACACGGAGGGCATGGGCAATCTGTGGAGGCAAGGGGACAGTTGGGGGTTGGAGGGATGAGGTTCTGAGGGCTGCACTGGAGAACTGCAGCAAGGCTTCTAAGCTGGCCTCCGTCTGCACCCCACAGTTCTTATGGACTCCTGTGTAACTTGCAAAGTCACTATGAGCCTGACCTCAAGAGAAAAGAGGGATATTCTGGACCAAGTTACACATGACTCAGATACGCATTTCAGAAGGTGCACAAGTGGCAAGTTTTCCTAAACTAACAGGGAAGATCCAGCCCAATATGATAAAGCAGAACGAGGTGGCCATTTGGCCCATCGTTCCTGTTCCAGCTGCTTGTTAATTCCATCCAATGAGTCATACCGCCTTGCTCTTTCTGAATGGATCTGCACTCCTCTTCCCCTTTGAGTATTTCTTCAGCTGTTTCTTGAATGTTCCTACTGAATCTGTTTCCAGCAGCCATTCCAGATCACAACACAACACTGCACAAGAAA